CCTCGCCGTTGGCTTTGGATTGCGACTCCACCATGGAGCTGGCTGCCACGCTCTCCTCTCGCTCCAGCTCCGGAGCCCCTTCAGCTTCTCTCCTCCTCCTCCGCCTGCCTCCTTCGTCGTCATCCTCCTCCTCCTCGTCTTCTTCCTCCACGTCCGCTTCCCCCACCTCGCTGGGATTGTAGTTCTTCTCGGACTCCAGGTAGGAGGCGCGGGGGTCGAAGTCGGCAGCCATGTGCTTCTCCATCTGGTCCGGGTTCTGGGCCTTCATGATGAGCTTGTAGGTCTTCCCTTGGTACTTGGAGAGGAGGTGGCACCACGTGGCCCCCATCAGGGGTAAGGTGGCCAGCACCAGCAAGAAGATGCTCACGACCACGATGATGATGAGCGAGGGGATCTCTTTTTTGGTGGTGAAGACCACTTGTACCTGGCAGTCCTCCCCCAGGTAGGTGAGACACACGGAGTAGTTGGTGCCGGGGTTCAAGCCCTGGAACCAGTATGAGTTCACCCCTTCCTCGATCTTGGACCACTGGACTAAGGCGTGGCCCTGGCTGCTCTCCTGGCACAGGTAAAGCATCCTGAGGTGGACCTTCTCAGGCTGCATGTAGGTGGGTGTGAGCTGCACCCGGGCATCGCGCTCCGACACATCTAAGGCGATCACCCCCAGGTCGAACGTGTGCTGCTTGAAATCGCCGCTCTGGTTGAAGGCGTGGTTGGAAATGTATTTGCTGGTTTGTGCGGAGCCACACTTCTTCTCAAAGGGTGGAAGCTGGAAAGGGACTTGCCCATCTCCTGTGGACTCTGTCCCAGCTGCTGAGGATGGTTGGCTCTGCCGGGTGGGACCGAGAGGTTTGTTCCTCTCATCTGGCATGAGCACACTGTTCTTTGCTCCCTTGGCCCCAGGCTTCTTGTCACCTGGCTGTGCTTTGCCCCCCAGTGGGTCCCTCCCGGGCTGCAGTGGGTATTTCTGAGTGCCCGCCACAGCCACGTTGACCGAGGTCTGGTTGCTCCCTATTTCGTTGGTGGCCAGGCAGGTGTAGGTGCCTTCTTCCCGCTTGCTCAGGTGGGGAATCACCAACGTGCCATTCTTGAAGACCAAGAAGCGCTCGGGGTCCTGTTTGGGGAGGTCCTTCCCAGCGCTCTCCTTCGGGTTCCCATTGAGCTCCAGGGTTTGGCTGGAGGTGCGGATCTTCCAGCTCACTTCGGGCGGCGGGGTGCCCGTCACGGCACAGTGCAGCGTCAGGGTGAAGCCGTCAAAGAGCTCCGTGGTGTCCAGGTTGGGGTAATAGGTGAGCTGCACGGTAGGCGAGGTGCACTGCACGTCTGGGATCTTCCCCACCGGCACTCCTCGGAGCTGCTCCGGGAGGGCACAAGTGATGGAGTCCTTCTCGGGGATGGAGATGAGCGTGCTGTCCATCCACTTCTTCAACCACTGGAGCTTGCAGGAGCACTCAAAGGGGTTGTTGTAGATCTGCAGGTGGGAGAGGGAACTAAGCGAGTCAAAGATACCCTCTGCAAGGGTGGTGAACTTGTTGTTGTTGATGCGTAGGGACCGGAGGTCCTTCAGCGTGTGGAAAGCCCCCTGAGGCACCAGAGCCATGTGGTTATTGTTCATCTTGAGCAGCTGGAGAGCGCTGAGGTTGTAGAGGTCCTGCCAGGGGAAGTCCACAATCTGATTGTGGCTGATGTCGAGGTTTTTCAGCTGCACCAGGATGGCGAAGGTACCGGGCTCGATGGAGCGGATCTCGTTGTGTGCCAACCAGAGGGAGGTGACCTGGGTCACCTCCACAAAGGAACGTCGCTGCAGCGAGGTGATCTTGTTGGCCGAGAGGCTGAGGGTGGTCACGTTGGAGGGCAATCCCGTGGGCACCACTTGAAGATCCTTGTAGGCGCAGTCGGCGAACTGGTGGGCGTACTTGTCCACGCAGGCGCAGGGCTCGGGGCACGCCCGG